CTCTCCAGCCTCTCCAGCTCCCTCTCAATGGCAGCACAGCCTTGTGGTGTGTCAGCCACTCCCCCCAGTTTAGGATCATCAGCTAACTTGCTGAGGGTGCACTCTGTGCCTTCCTCCAGGTCACTGATGAATACATTGAACAAGACTGGACCCAGGACTGACCCCTGGGGGACACCACTAGCCACAGGCCTCCAACTTGACTCTGCGCCATTCACCACAACCCTCTGAGCTCGGCCATCCAGCCAGTTCTCAAGCCACCTCACCGTCCACTCATCTAGCCCACACTTCCTGAGCTTACCTAGGAGGATGTGATGGGAGACAGTGTCCAAAGCCTTGCTGAAGTCCAGGCAGACAACATCCACTGCTCTGCCCTCATCTACCCAGCCAGTCATTCCATCCGAGAAGGCTCTCAGGTTGGTCAAGCATGATTTCCTTTTGGTGAATCCATGCTGACTACTCCTAATCACCATCAGCTTTCCAGGGATGGAGGTGAGGCTGACTGGTCTGTAGTTCCCTAGGTTGTCCCTTCTTGCCCTCTTTGAAGACTAGAGGGGCACTGGCTTTCTTCCAGTCCTTAGGCACCTCTCCTGTTCTCCAGGACCTTTTCAAGATGATGGAGAGTGACCTAGCAATAACATGGGACAGCTCCCTCAGCATTCATGGGTGTATCCGGTATGTCCAGTTTGCTTAAATGATCCCTAACTCAATCCTCCTCCGCCACCAAGGGAAAAATCTTCCTTTCTCCAGACTTTCTCCCTGGTCTCCAGGGCCTGGGATTCCTGACGGCCAGTCTCACCAGTAAAGACTGAGGCAAATAAGGCATTTAGTATCCAAATTCAGTCATCCAAATTCAAGTCAATATTATTCCTACATACTTGGAGGAGGGACTTGTACGTCTTGGTTCTAGTCATACTCTCTATCCAGTTCTAGCCAATCCTATCATAGACATGACGAAGAGACAAACAGGACCCTAAGATCTAGCTGACTGCACATCATTTAAAAAAAAAAAAAATGCATGCCTTTGGAGGGGCATGGTTCTCATATAACTGCATCTGCATCCTGGTTATTTTGGACCTTCTCATAACTATGGGAATGGGTAGGACACAGAGACCATCTGTCCCCAAGAAAAAGGGAACATGCACACCTGGATTCTCAGTCTCTGCTACCCTTGGCAATAAGAAAGGCAATATTCTTCACATTCCAGGATATTCTGGCCTCTGCCTATCCCCCATTTGCTCTTGTTCTCCACTGCAAGAGATAAAGTTTAACAATTCCATATTTCAGAGTTTGCCCTTGCACCCTTGCCACTGTTGGAGCTTAAGAGAACGGTGCAGTATAATCAGCTTCTGCTTTACCATGCACTGTTAGGGTCTGCCCACTCTTGCTTCTGTCATATTTATTGGTATAAACATATCTGAAATATATCCTAATTTTAATGCTACCAGATCTGTAACTTACTGTTAAAAAATTCCTCGTAGTCAGTTTTCTCCACACAGCACGTGTACATGCGCAGAGCTGCTACCTTAATTTTCTAGAGAAAGAGAAAACACAGTAATTAGAGTATTCATCATGAAACCTACCGAATGCTACTGTTGTTGTTAAATACATACATATACAGTCGTCTTCTCAGAAGACTTCTCCTAAAAATCTCAATCACTTGAGATTTTTGAGAGCACATTAATATCTCCCAGGAATGACAGAAGTATAATTGCTCTTGCCTTGAGGCAATAAACTGACTAAATGACTTCTAGAATTCCCTTCCAAAACAAGTTTAATATAATACCTGTTTATATGAAAATAATGTCAATGGCTTTCCTTAAAAAGACTGCAAAGAAATCCATTCACAATCCCCGGTGTCCTCCAATAACTTTAACTGCTGATGCATACAGCTCAAAATGTCCTGTATAATTTAATTTTTAAGCATTAAAAAAGTGACGTGCCAATCACCTAAAAATCTTTTTTTTCTGCAAGAATGAAAATTCACCAACTAAGTTTCACAAATTAGAAGGGAAACCCAAAGGATGAATCACATAATATAAAAGATGCTTTTGCACTTCTAATTTTTTTTCTTGGTCTGCCATTACACCAGAAAGACCTTCAGAGTATCATCTATAACTAAGAAACATGTGCTGAAGTTTCAAAGAGCACAATAACTGATAGCAGAGATCAGCAAAAAGAACTACCAGCTATTCCCCTCCACTGACATCAAAGGAGAGAATTTATAAACTTGAAAAATCCTGAGCCAACTGCCCTACCAGAGGAGGGCCAGATGAGAAAGAGAAAGCATGGTTGTTGGGGTTTTCTTTGTTTGTTTGTTAAACTGGTATCTACTAGGGACCATCTTAGTGCGCACTGTACTGCAGCGTGCCCAGCGCCCGCACTCTATGCTTTTAGCATGGCACTTCAAAGTACCAAACCGTTGTACCAAAGTACCATTATTTACATCTGCTCTGACGAAAATGAAGGTAAGAAAATTGCAGCTGTTCTCCTACTGTGGAAATACATTGTTTTTCTTATTCAATAGTTGCAGGTTTTCTGTCACAAACAAAGGCCTAGAAGCTTTCTCAATAATCAAGTATACATAGAAAATCCTTACAATAAAATAATTTACATCACTTATTGGAGTTCTGAAGATTTCCATGGTAAAGGAAACACCGTCTGGCTTGCAAGTAGAGTATCTTTCCAGTAAAACTCATTGCCCCAGACCAAGCGTTACTCGATATTAAAATCGTATTGTAAAGAACATTCCCTGCCATGCAGCCCTTAAATAAGGCAGGTAACACAGGGAACAAATTGGTGAAATTTAATCATTGAGGTGTTGGTGTGAAGAAGAGGTAAGCAGAAAGGGAGGAAAATGAGGAAAAAAAGAGAAATATTTAAAAAAATTCCCTAAGATCTCAGAGAGCACTAGCAAGGCCAAAAAACAAACTCAGGTCTCTGGGGCCTTAATCACAAAATAATTCTCTCCAAACCCAAGTCCCCAGCGAAAAGCAGGCAGTAGAGCGTAGCAATGAAGAACTCTGAATCAACACTTAGAGCTAACAAGAATCTTTATTACAACAATATGTACACAAACACACGAAAGAAGAAGTACTCTCTCATGAGGCTTAGCACTACCCGATTAAAAGCAACTAACTTAAATCAAAATACCTCACCCTCTTAAGTGCAAGTTATCTTTCCTTTATATTTACTTTCTGACAGGGGAAGATGTAATCAGCAATAGTGTCAGATCAGTCTTTGAGAAGATCTACTCTGTCTTGCAATCTTTCAAAACACCTTATAGAGTTTTAATTTCTGCAGTTGTGCTCAGTCCTTCCTAGTTACAGTCTTCCCCACTGACTCCTTTATACTGTGTCCTTAGCTCAGAGCTAAGTAGTTCTGAATTCCATCTCTTTTTCCTTCTGTAGAAGCAACTGAAGGTGTCTCTTACAGAACTCCTCTTGTTTAGTCACTAACTGCATTATTTAGAAAACTCCCAAGAGGAAAATCTATTTGTGACTTGGCCCTGCTCAGCTTACTCTTGAAAAGTGACTCTTAACAGCAACAATAACATCACAGAATCACAGAACGGTTGAGGTTGGAAGGGACTGCCGGAGATCATCTAGTCCAACCTCCCCTTCCTCCAGCAGGCTCATCTAGAGCACGTTGCCCATGACCCCGTCCAGACGGGTTTTGAATATCTCCAGGGAAGGAGACTCCACCACCTCTCTGGGCAACCTGTTCCACTGATCAGGCACCCTCACAGTCAAGAAGTTTCTCCTCATGCTCAGATGCAACTTCCTATGTCACAGTTGGTGCCCGCTGCCTCTTGTCCTGTTGCTGGGCACCACGGAGAAGAGTCTGGTCTCATCCTTTCGACACCCCCCCCCCTTCACATACTTGTACACATTGATTAGATCACCTCTCAGTCTTCTAAAAAATATGGAACGCTTCACGAATTTGCATGTCATCCTTGCGCAGGGGCATGCTAATCTTCTCTCTATCGTTCCAATTTTAGCCTATGTGCTGCCGAAGCGAGCACAACATACCGCGCTACTGTTTGCTTGGCAGCCCCTCCTGTCACAGAAATATAGAAGGCTAAGAGGTCCAGAGATGAGCAACAAAAATGAAAAATATGAAATAGCCTCAGTAACAGAAACAAGTTAGATTAGGTCTCTCTAGTTCAGAAAAAGTCAGCTATTATAGGATATAAGAATCTGTAAAATTGTGAGCGGAAGGCAGGACGTGAACAAACACTCCAAGGGTAGAATAATCAGCAATTTTTTAAATAGGAAATTAATAGGCATCAGCTGAAAGCAGCAGAACTTCTTCCCACAATGGACACGTAGGCTGCGGAACTCAGTGATGGAAATGCATAAATCAAGGCAGGTTCAAGCTCTAGATTACTATTCCCTATATCACAAAATAAGAATTTACTTAGGCAATAAATAGGATTGTTCCACACAAGTATTCCCCCTATCATAAGGGAAAACAGATTTTTTTTAGAATGCTAAAAGTAATAAGCAACCAAAAGAGAAAAATCACCAAGTAAATGCCTTACCCATTTGCTATATTTCAGTGGTCCTGTGAAGCCCATTGCTTCTATTATCCTTGTGAAGGCACCCACTTTCTCTTCAGATGGCTGCAAGGAATCTTTTGCAGAAAAATGCTGAAATGTAAAAAAAAAAAAAAAAAAACACACACATATATTTCTATCTCAGCAATTTTAGTTGGACAAATTACAAGGTTAATTGCAAATACTAGCTTTTTTGGTTTGCTTTCTCAGTTCAATAAACAAAACAAGTAGCTATTTAGATGCTCTCTACAAAACATACCTTTATAAAACCTACTTAACCACTCCAGATTAGGAAGGTCAGTTTTAATACACACATCAGAAAACATCATTGGCTACTTTCTACGTTATAACTTTCCACATTATATATGAAAATGCCTGAAGACACAGAATCTTTAACGGTTATCTAGTATGACCTTGGCATGCTATAAAAAATAGCAGGGTATTCAGTAATTTCTATCTCAGGACCATAAAGCAGTTGAGCTTCATCGCAACCTGCAGAAAAACAGGCACTTTTCATTTAAGTATTTCAACCGCTCAACAGCCTAATAAATATTTTGATGAGTAATATTGCATGTATTTAATTATTTGAAGATCCCACAATGACATTATGTAGGCATTTTCATTCCTGTGTTTTGTTCGTACCAAACATTAAGTAGAACGAATAAGATCCAGCAAACATCATTAGGACAGAAGTTTAATTTAATTTAGACTACTTTTGCTTCCCTAAGAAATGTTACAGCTTTTCCTAGCAAATGTACAAACTTAGAGTTTAAAGCTAAAAAATCAAACATTAAAAGGCAAGATTAGGCATCCAAGGAGTAAAAAAAAAAAAAAATGGAGAAAAAAAGAAAGTGTTGATCCAAGCTCTTCAGTGCCATCTCCACTTCTTCAGTTTGAAATGCAAATACCAGGATTAGTCCCAGTGTTTCTCAAGTAGTCTCACAATGCTAAATAAAGATACACTTTTCTTTCTACTTGACATTTTTCTGCAATTGAATGCAAGCATCACATAACAGTTTTGGTAAGAATCCCACTGGAAGCTCAAGCTCTAACAGTTTGTACAAAAACCTGCTTTGCAAAATATAGTTCCTTTTTTTTCTAAGTATGAGGTATGTTCTTTCTTTCTACATGTGTGAGCTTTATTTGGAATTAAATCTTTTGCAGACAAAATTAACAAACAAATCACAGAAACCTAGTTAATAAATCTATCTGGCCCTTGCACATTCTGAGTTCAGTCCTTACTTGCACAGGCAAACCATATTCTAGAATTATACATCGTTCCTTCTTAAAACTACTAAAGTTACATGAACCCACCATTCTCACTGAAAAGCTCCTCCAGAATCTTATTCCCCTTGCAGCTGATGGAGCTTTATGTCAATCTAGATCTTACTTGCGGAAAATCCAGATCAGAAAAATAGTTAGCCCTTAGTATTTATCAGGTCAATTATTTGCATCAGATGCAAACAAGAAAATAATTGTTTTCTTCCAGGTTAACTACACACCTTGAAGAGCATTGGGTTGATAAGAATCTATGTGGTATTCTGCCTAAAACACACTGGCACTAGCAATCAACCATCAGTAATTATAGTTTGTGTTCTAACAAATTTTAAAGAACATTTAGACTGTATACTTTAACTCATTATATTATCAACAAACTACTCTACTTTTAACTAATCTAACCAAAATCTAATGCAAGTGAATCTCCTACATATACTTGAGGAATATAGCTGAAAGCCATTATCATTGAGAAAGTTCCCTGCCCAAAGAAGCACTAAATTACTTTAGATCACTGAATTTCACTCTAAAAGGTTTCTCCAAAGACACAAAAATATTTAAAAAAAAAAAAAAAAGAAAAAGAAAAAGAAATCCACTAGAGTTACCAGATTTGGTAGGAAGTGTAGCAATTTAGCAACAAAAGAACTGTCATACATTACCAGAACAAACACTTAGGCCTGTATCCCATCTACAGCAAGGACCAGCAGCAGATACTTGGAAGAGATGCAGAACTAAGAAATATAGCACACAGAGAGCAGCCTCCTGGGGTGCACCTGCCCAGCTTTTAAGTCATTCCTGCACTAGAAAGCGTATCCACACAATCACTTTTGGCAGCTGCAAATGGATGCACCTTCAGCACCCCAATCAGTTTTTGAAGCATTTAACTTCCACAGCCTATGGAGTTGTGACACTTGAGCTTCACAGTTTAGTTATGCAAAAGCAATGTCCTCGTGTCATTTTAAACCTGAACCTTGTAATTTCATTGGATGCACCCCGTTTTCCTATAAAAAGCAGGAAACAATAATTTCCTATCCCTTTGTTCAGTATTTTTAAGGAATTGTATAAGCTAGTATCATATATATCCCCATCTGTTACCTCTTTCTAGATTCCAAGAGTCCTAACCTAGTCTCTTCACATACAGAAGGCTCTTCCCATCCCTGATCATTCTTGCTGTATTCTCCAAAACTTTCCTAGCGCTAGTACAGTAATTTTTGAAGTAACGCTACTGACAAACTTTCATTTTCCTGTAATATGAATGATTTTAAAAGAGACATAGTAAAATACAGACACATATCCAGTACAAGTTGCTATGCTTAATTAACTGCAAAGGGGACAAAAATTGCAGCTTTGAGACGTAATTGCCATGTATATTCAGCATTAGCATTTCACGAAAACACATTGTATTCTCATACTGTCCATGGATGGCTGTTAATGTCTTGACCTCCATCATGCCTAGTATTTAGGTAAACAGGAAGAAACACGCTCAGTACCATTTTGGTATCTATCAATCACCCAGTAAGATAGAGCATCAGACTACCCAGGATCTTCCTTAATACTCAGATCCTTGCTTTGAATGTTGGCCACTAAACCTGCTCACCACGTCCACTGTTATCATCCAGAACAATTACCTCTGCAAAGGTACCTTCTCTCCCTCTGCCATATGTGATGGACCCAGTAAGTCTACTGAGACGTACATGAAGTTTTAAACCAATTTTTATTACGCTGTTCTTCAAGCTTATCTTGCTCATCTTCTCCACACTAATTAAAATCACAGTTAGGCCCTAGTTAATCTAGACAGATTAGTTCTAGCACATCGCCCTTGTCTACAAATACATTATGAAGTTTCCCTCATTACAGGTTTTTCATTATGCAGAGGAAGTTGACCCTTAAAATCAAAATTATCTTGATTCAAATTCTGTTAGTTCATCACCCAAAAAAAATTTTTTTTTAAACCAGAAAATAGCCTTTTTCTAAGAAATTCCGTGGTTCTTACTTCATTCAGAAGTTTGCCTGAACTAGCTCAGGAGATGCAGAGAGGATTTAATTAGTGAGTGCTTGGTTCAAGGTACAGACAGAGGTATGTAGTTCAGCCTGCCAATGCTACAGCTATAGCCACATGCAATTAAACAGTCAGACAAGCGTGTATAAAAATCAGATCTACAAAACATATACTGAAAAATTCAAAATACGTTTTATAACTTGTTCAAATTAACAAATTGATCAGGACACTGAAAGGCCTACCTCATGCAGACTTTCCTGCACAACACCTGAAACTCAGCGCTCAAAGCAGTCAATCCTCTTAATTCTAACAACAAATACAAAAAGGAAACAGTTGGAGTTCCCCATTAATTCTAACTCACTTTCTCACCAAGAGTAGTCAAGTTCACATTTCAAAAATGAGTAAGTTCTTCTCTGTTCAAAATATTAACGCTGCAGTTCAAGCACTTATCTCAAACCTTATCTGCCCTGCTGTAAACAGCTTTTTCTCTGTTCATAAATCCTGCGTGGTTTCTTATATACCAAGGCCATCTTAACCAGGAAGTTTCCTGACTCATCATTCTACCCTGGTACTCTTCCACTAGTCCTTTTCCACTATGTCAAATACAAGCTTCTCACCTCTGCCTTGAAGATCTTCGTGCTGCTCTTGGCAGAGAGCAAAGTGGTATTGGTTTTTTTAATGTAAATTTTACTTATCGCTCCCTCATTTTCCCTCTGTCCTCCCATTTCTCTTGCATTTTGCCACTATATTTGCATTGAGATCACTACAGCAAGATCATAGTATTTGTTATTTGAGATGTTGACTCTTTTGGATTAAATACTAAGTAAATCCTATGGAGATGGTTCATGCTCCAGACGACTTCTATTCCAAGACAAAAGACACACATTAACAAAGTAGTATTGATGAACAGACTTTCATTATTAGCTGCACACTAGAATTAGTCATTATTAATACCCTGCGTGACAATTTTAAGGCTTTAGCATATAGCAAAACTGTTGTCACCTTGTCACTCCCAATATATAAAGGAAATTTCTGTGCTTCCTTCTTTGAAGGTAAGAAAGGACCATCTGCCCCCCCTCTTATTACTACTTTCCTTAACTTAGATTCTTTCCTAACTGGGCTTGTCATGGGAACCTCCCCACAAATTACCCAGCTGCAACCAGACTTTCCTACGTTAGCACTTCATTTTCTGGAAAGGAACAAAGCACCTCTCAAATTATCGGACCTATTGTTAATGCTATATGAAAACACGTTATACAAAAGTTGAATCACTTCCTAAACATTTTCAAAAATATTTTGTTACCTGTACCTATATAATACTTAGCACAATGTGCCCTCCAATGATAACAACAAACTCTTCTAACCTTATTTGTATTGTAAAACGATCTGTTTTGCTGTGTAATGGCTCCACTGGCTTGAGACAATCCAACACGCTCAGTAGACAGTGGGAATCGGCCAGTCTTGCGTCTCTAATAAAAGTGATAAAAGAAAAAAAAAGAAAAAAAGTGAAGAGACCATTTGGTAGTGACACTTAACTTTACACCAATTACCCTTAATTTGCTTCCAAGACAATTATAGTACACTCTAATCCTGCAGAACTTTGTATCACATAAAGCATAAACTTACTGTCAAACTGTTACAAATAAATAGGTTGTCAAGCGTAATGCCCCATATTACGTATTTCCTAGCACTCTGTAAGCGTACAGGTGAAATGCACTGGCAGACCTCTCCACTCTCAAAAACCACAGGCTAGGCTGCTTTGATTTTCTGAGGAATTAATTCTTCTTATGTTTTTTTGTCTCTTACTAAATAATTCTTCTTCCTTGGCCTTGCAGAGAAAGAGATTTTAAGAGCAACTTTATAGCCCACCTAATTGTCTTTGTGGACAGGACTCGAGCACAACAAGTTACAAAGGAATAGGTATGTATCACTATAACCGCCACGTGACACACAATTTGTATTACAGTGCAACTGCGTGGTAAAGAAAGGTATCAAGTAAGAGTGGGTGGGATCCCCAGGTAAGAAGTGGCACACTGAATAAAACACCTGTCATACCTTCCCAGCATGTCCAGAGTAGCAGTAACTTGTTCATCACTAACGTCAGGCATGGGCAAGGTAAATATGCTGTTTCATTTCATTCCTAGGATTTTACTGAATCCTAAAATGGTGGCTCACAGTAAATCTATAACTTTACCAATGAACTTCACGCATGTTCATTTTCTTCAGCACTCCCAACACTGTATGCTACTTAATATGGACGGGGGCTTTAATTGTATGGCTACAGTTAATCTCTCCAGGACAGAAAGGACTGATTTGATGAAAGATATCAAAGGCAAAGAGCTTAGAAGTCAGAGTTTCTAATTTTGTGTGTCACGGCTGGCTCTACTAGCTGTCATATACAGGAGAACAGAAAAGAGGTTTAACAATCTCCTCTGATTTCATTTTATGCAACAAGAAAACATCAACATACCCTAACTCCGTTCGTATAGTCTGCATGTATTGCCATTTTATAAGCATTTTTTCACCTGCTTATTAACTGCTATTACACAACCTTTTGATAATTTATTAAGGACAGGCACAAGCTGGTACCATGCATATTAGCATAAAATGGAAGTAACAATGTAAAGCAGTGCTTTAAAATGGAAGTAACATCACTATTCAGTGTTGTGCTGTGCCAGGCAGACGTACCATCTCTGTATTAGAAACTCTAAGGTTATTGTACTGTGGAGACATGCTCTTTAAAATGCTGGCCATTAAGTGGGATCATGACTAAATAGCTTGTAACGACTTCTTCAGAAAAACGACACGTAAATTAGGACTTCTGTCATTCTATCCACTAAAGACAACTCACACTCTTACCCATTAAAAAACTACATAGCTGGAATGAAAGCAACTATGAGGTAAAGAGCTGAGATCAAAAGAAGGAGGTCTTGCTCCCTACTCCTCCCCTCAGTAAAAAGATAGAAAATGTTCACTTCTTTTCGAGATAATTTTCTCATATTTCAATGAGTTAAACTACCTCACAAAAGGGTCTAACAAACACCAGAGCCAGCACAAGGTAAGAGCAGGAACAGAGAGGAGGAAGAGTGAGAACTCCTCCTTTCAGCAGCAGAAGACTTCTAAATTGCCTCACCATGTCCCACAGAACATACTGAAACCATTCCCTTCCACTTAATTTAGAGAAAACACTTTCTTCAGCCCTTCAAGATGCCTCTTTCTGGATCTGCAGCACTGGTAAGTAGTTTTGATTGTTTTCTCAATACAGGTGAACCAAGAAAATTTGGAGCTTACATGCCCTTCTCAAAAACTTGGCATTTCATCAGTACACAGATGGTGAGGCAAAACTTTTGGAAACCTCTCTGCTTAAAAATTGTGACTTTTCCTTACAGATATAAGCACATTCCAGTTTTTACACACTTTCACGGACTCTGACGTCCTACCTGGAAAATACCATAGAGCATCCTTCTACATTGGCCTTGGACCATGGTTGTCTGTAATAATCCACTGCATGCTGCTATCCATTGTGTTACTCCAGTCTGGCAGCTCTGGAACAGAGAGACTAGCAATGAAGAGGAGCATCCTAATAACTCAGAAACAGTTTAGCTGTCCTCCGCCTTCTGCAGATCTTATTCACTCACACAACAATGTTCCGATTAAACTCCAAACTTGTATTTAAAAAAAACCAAAAGTTTTGATTAAATAAATGAAGGCAAACCTTTATTTATTTATTTAAGAAAAGCATGCAACCAGCGTTTGAAGGCAGAAACAGAACAATCACGGAAAATAGTGGGCTGTACGCATCATAAAACTACACCACAATTTTTATACCCACAGAATAAGTTAAGATGTTTACGAAGCATTATTCCATTGACTGAGAGGATCTGTAAGAAGCCCTCACCAAACTCCCCTGCCACGTTTTGCCAGATATCTGGTACAGAGATGCAAGCAGGGAGGAAGACTAGGAACGGGAGGAGGGAGCAGGGACTCCTCATTCCAGTTGCAGTGAGCTCTCCGGTAGGGCTCACCATGCTGGTAAAACCACACCTTGAGACAACGTCAGTTCCAAAAAAAACAAGAGGATTAATTTTGTAAGTGGGTACAGCCCTTTGACTAAAGGTCTTCTTCCTTCATAAATATTTCTCCACCTAGCACAGCTGGCATCCCAGTATTTGTATTGTGACAGAATCTCAGAACCCAGTCACAGACTTCACTTTTCTCAGTTCTACTGAAGAGTGGTATCCTGCTGCACAGACGTTAAAAGCTCATATACACAAAAAAGGTGATAGACACAAGTGCATTAGAAAGAATAAAACAGCTGAGTGATAGGAAATAAATACACTCTCATTCCTTCATAGGAGCGCAACCTGTTCCACTTAACACAGAAACTGTAGTCTTTATATGATCTTCGCTATCAAGTACCTCATAAGTGAGAAAGGAATCTCAAGGAGAGAGAATCCCCGTCCCACAGAGCATACACACCATGTCCAAAGTGACTGGAGAAGTCCCAGACAAATTTTCTCAAACACAAAGCCCCAACCAGAGGAGTAAAGTCTTACATAATTGTTATGTAAGTACAACCTCCGAAAGAAAAGCTCACGCCTTTCCCCTTCCCGCCCCTTCACGAGAGACATCCGCCACGGACACGGGGAATGCCCGAACCACCTGAGTGCCGCACTCTGAGAAGGACAGGAATAAGCGGTCGGGTGCAGTAACCTCTCACAGCGACGTCAAAAGTTAAAACGATTACCGTTTACGAAAACCACAACTCCTTTATAAGCATCGTTTAATATTTTTTTTCTTAATCACGCTGCCTAGGGAAAGGCCACGCTGGAGACAGGGACCCGCAGGAGCCCGTGGGACTGTCACGTCCGTGACCAGCACCGCAGGGGCGATACCGGAACCACCCCCACGGGGACGCGCTCAGCCTCACACGCCGCTCGTCCCCTCAGCAGCGCCGCCGCC